GGCTGCAGTCTCCGGGGATTCTCGGCTTTGTTTACAGATCGTATTTTAAAATCCGTATCTGAATTCCAAAGTAACCGATTTTCCCCCTGGTTTTTCTTTTGTTCTGTTTTTTTTTCACCAGCCAGATCGACCTCGTCCAGTCTCTTCCAACCGTTTGGCGTTTGCCTCGTGTGCTGCCGTCTGTCCCGCGGGGCTGTGAGCTGAGGCTGCTGGTCCCCGTTCGGGGTTTTATTCTGTTCCGTTCACACCGTAAGGACGGTCTGTTTGGAATATACGGGGCTTACAGTTTCCAGTCAAGTCGTACTCGGACTGAAGTGATTAAAAAACTGTTGCAAAGCGGTTTCATTGCTGAGAAACATTTGCATTTTTGAAGTCTTTTGCTGTTACTGAAAGAGAGTAGGGGTCTCAGAAGGAAACTGAGTTTGTGATCAGTGATCACCTGAATTTGTGATCAGTATTCGTCTGGCCGTGTCTTTGTCATCACAGACTTTGTATTCCCAGTTTCTAGAAAGGCTATTCGCTAAATAACATTTATCATAAGAGGAACCCAAAGAAGAAGCCACGAATTCAAACTTCGTGCGGAGAACTCAAAGTGCAGGGAAGCAAAACCACACTCCGACGGGGTGAGAATGTTTAAGGTTTGGACAAATTCCAGTCTGAAACGACACTGAGAATGCAGTTTAACACATAAACAGCCAGCTCAGCTTACTGGCGGTAGTTAGATATCCGAGACTTTCTGGACTGAAAAACATCACGATGTTGCATTCCTGTAGCAGAACGGTAAACGGTAGCAGGTTTTCCTCGGCTCCTGTGTCAGCTGAAGCTAAGAGTGCCAAGACCAGATCAGAAATGTGCAGCTGAATATGCGCCACTGTCACTGGAAAGTGGCAAAATAATTCCCTCTCTGAAACTGAGGTTTGGAGTTTCAGAAATCCGGCATTCTGTGCTGCAGAGCTGGACGCAGAGGGGACAGCAGCTCCGCCCAGATGTGTGTGCAGAAAAGACAGAGTTACCGGGTATTTATGCCGTGTCAGCACACATATTCCTCACACTCCTGAGAAACGCTTATCATCATCTTCGAACTCAGTTCTAAGATCACCTATACCGTGTCCTTCCAGGCTGCTTCGTCACAGTCTTACGGCCGCTTTGCAGCCTCCCCGTCCCGGTGGCCCTGCGCATCTGCTCCCCCAAGGCCGAGCTGTCCGAGCAGGATGGTTCGGGAGTCTCTGATCTCACAGCCTTCCCAGTTACCCACAGAGAACCAAGGCGTGCTTTGGCTGTGCAATTAAACTGCTGTGCAATGGTTCTGAGACATAAAGCGATAACTTCTATCGGCATCCGCTACACCCACAGGCGTGAGGGTCACCTCCCTCGGCCTCCTGGCAACGGTCCTCCTGCAGACCAGGGCACCGCCTGCCTGCTTCGCCAGAGGCGCACAACGCTGGCTCGTGGTGGACTCGGTGTCTACCAGGACCCACAGAGCCCTTTCCGCAAAGCCGCTTTCCCAGACCGTGAGCCCCCGGCACGTACTGGTGCGTGGGGCTCTTTCTCCCCAGCCGCAGGACTTCGTACGTTCCGCCGGGC